AGGAGAGCTTCAAGAAATCATGACCATCTGGACATGGAGACGAGAGAGGGGATGGTGTAGGGATATGGAAAGGGGAAAGGGATTCCCCAAGTTTGGGAAGACAGAGGGGTGAGAGTTTCTGCAGTGACAGAGACCTGTTCCCATTACCCTGATTCTCTGGGAAGTGACAGAACTTGGAGGGAGTGGGTGCTTGGCCCAGGATGGCTCTGAGGGCCTGCAGGGAGCAGGAAAGGCCAGCAGAGGGAGCCACAGTGACGACTGTTGGTGGATGGCCAGCCAACCCGTGAGGTCTCCTCACTAGGACTGATGAAATCACTGCTATCTCTTGAATATACCAAAAGAAGACAATGGCAGAAAAGGAAAAATGTAATATTAATGGCACTGTGTTAAAATCCCTCCTCAAACCTGCCTTCAGGACATTTCCCCACAACTACCTTTCCCTTGGGCCTGGGGTCCTTCCTTGTGTCTGGCCAACCTACTTAAAGTCTTATTCTATCTACCCTGATTATTCCATTCTCAGTGCACACAAACCTTGGTATCTGTTGCCCACAGGTGAAATTTGCAAGGTCCTTGTTCTTAATTACGCATAGCAAATTTAAATTTTTATCTGTCTCAGAGTGCCTTGCATGAGTTATAAAGTTCACGGAGGGCATCCTCTCATGAAAAGTAACTTTATCCCCAATCATTTATCCTGCTCACCTAGGATGAAAATACTCACAAACTCTTTTAGGGCATGTAAATTTACAGGAAGGTAAAGAAACCCTCTTAAAGAAATAGACCGTATTTATGCATGGAAGGATTCCATAGTATAAGAAAATCAATTCTTTCTAAATTGATGTGTACATCAAAATAAGGCCCAGATGAATCAAGTGTTAAATATTTTATGGGTTAAAAAACCTATAAAGTACTATATTATAAATCTGGATAGTTATGCAACCTCTGAGAGAAGTAGGACATTCTAATATAAAGAGGAGAAAAACAAGGAAAAGTTGGCTTATCTAAAGTTATTGCCACTGTATTTAGGAAAAATGGTTCAAATATACAGCATTATGATAGCATCAGCTTACATTTTAATTTAGTGAGGAGTTCATAAAATGCAAATGAAGCATAAAAGATTCAATATATAAGTACATTAATATTTGGACCATGAACTAAAGAAGAAACACCACTATTTAATAATTACAAAGAAAATGTTCAAACTCTACTAATCAAATGTGAATTCGGATTTTAAAAATGACACCATTTCTTCTTCCTAATTATCAAAAATTAAAAAAAGTATAATAATACTATTGAGGGAAATAGCTACTTTTATGCATCAATGGGAAAGATGAATGTAACTTTGGGTAATCATTCATAAAGATCCTCAACCTATTTCAGATGTTCTAACTTATAAGATCAAAATTTTGGAAATATATTCTATGTTCAATAGTAGGTTGTACACTTACTTGCTGGAATATTATGTTGTTATTTAAAAATGTTTAAAGTGATAACATGGCAACACATACTAACATATTAGTATTAGGAATACTAATAATAGCACATAAAAAGTAATGCAAATATTAAAGTGTTTAACTTAATTGATAATTAGGGAAAACATTCAAACACAATGAGATATCATGTAGTACCCACCAGATTGACCAAATTTAAGTAGACTGAAAATACCACTGCTGAGGAGGATGTGGCACAGAAAGAACCCTCACACATACTCATTAGAGCACGAACTGGTACAACCACCTGTCTGATGCTATCTAATGAAGTTAAAGATACACATACTCAATGCCCCAGCTATTCCACTTATAGGTATAGAAACCAGAGATTTTTTTTTTTTTGTACATGAGCACTGGGATACAGGATTGACACTGTGGTTGGAATGACTTAACTGGAAATATTCATTACCAGTAGGATGCATAAATCACGAGTTACTTATTCTAAAAGATAGAGCACAACAAAATGAATAAATGAGTGTTAAACATAATGGTATAGATTGTTTTTCCCAGCATAATGTTGAATGAAAGAAGCAAATCATAAATGAATATGTGTTCATGATTTCATCTATCCTAAGTTCAAAAGTACCTACTAGTTTAGATTTATATACAAAAGTGGAAAAACCAAAAGAAATGCAGAGAAATGCACCTGATTCTATGATAATGGTTGCCTTTGGCAAAATGGAGCTGTGTTCGGATACAGTAGGGAAGTAGAGGGCTTTTCTGGGTCTAGAAGTATTTGATTTCTGGGCTAGGGTTATAGCTTCATGGTAGAGCACTCACCTAGCACGTGCAAGGCACTGGGTTCGATCCTCAGCACCACATAAAAACAAATAAATAAAATGAAGGTATTGTATCCAACTAAAACTAAAAATTTTTTTTTTAAAAAAGAAGAGTTTGATTTCTTGACTTGGGATATAATTGTATGTATGGTAACTTTATAATTATATATGAATATACAATATATGTATAAATAAAATGTGCATTTTAAATACTCTATAATGCAAGTTACATTTTATATGTTGGATTATGTCCCCTACCCCTGCAAAAAAAAAAAGAAAGAAAGAAAGAAAGAAAAAGAAAAAGAAATAGGTTTAGGCCTCAATCTTCAATAATTCAACATGTGAATTTGAAAGAGGGTTGTTGCAGATGGCATTACTTAAATTTAGAAGAGGTCATACTAGAGCAGTGTGGGTCCCTAGTGCAGTAGGATTGCTGTCCTTATAAGAGAATGGTCATATGAAAATGCCCCGTGAAGATGGAAACAGAGACATCTGCAAGCGAAGGGTCATCAAGGATTACCAGCCATCACCAGAAGCTAGGAGAGAGGCTGAGACAGATCTCCCTCACAAGCCTTCAGATGGAACAAACCCTGCTGACACCTTAATTTCAGACTCCTAGTCCCCAGAGCTATGGGAGAATAAATTTCTGTTGTTTTAAGTTATCCAGCATGTGATATTTTATTATGGCAGCTCTGGGAAACTAATGCATTGTACTCTCACATTAAAAAAATATTTGTATAAGCCCACCAAAAATTATATTTCTGATCTAATTTCTTGAATAAATCTCCAAAACCTAAAATCAAAAAGTAGTCAAACCATCCAATTTTAAATATTCCCTAGAATAGTTATTCTCAAAGACACAATTCAAATATAAAAATAAGGAGCTCCTAATCAGAAAAGACAGCCAAGCTGCATATCTAGTTGTACCAAGGGGTCAAGGATCAATTGTAAACGTCCAAGTCCATTAAAAAATAAAGGATGTAGTTGTTCCACGTTGGCCTGTAAAAATTTCATGCTGACCCTCTGCTTCTCTCCCTTACTGGAAAGTCTCCAGCGACTGATGTGACCCTGCACATGGCTGCTGGGAGAACATGCTTATTCATTCCATTTCACTCCTGAGCAAAGACCTGACCTGAAAGAAGACCTCACCCAGAACTTTTCCAGGGCAGAATACTGATGAATACAGGGGCTCTGTGGAAGATCAGCTTGGATGCAGCTCGAATTTCTGCAATTTAGAAGTACACAGTCTCAGAGTCTGCAGAGAGCAATGTGCTCTTGCAAACCTCACTGGAGGTTTGATTTTGTGTAGCATACTAAGCTTGGTAGTGGAAGTATTGCTTTTCTCAAGTATGTTTCATATGCCATAAATAAGGGCATAAATGAACAATCCATAGAGAACAGATTTTTTGAATTTTAAAAAAGGCAACATTACTTTTCTACTATGCTCTGGTTTTCAAATATCAAACAAAAGTAATGTACAGAAAAAATTTCTGCAGGAAAAATAATAGTGAGGTAGAGTAGCATAGTAATAAGGGAATTTGAAGCCAGCTTGTCTATTCCCCAATCATGATTCTGCTTTACTTACTAGTTTGTTGTACTTTTGGCAAATTGTTAAGTGCAAATTTCTTCATCTGTAAAATTAGGATTAAAAATGCACATACTGTGAAGAGTTGCTGGGAAGATTCAATGAGGCAGTAAATGAAAAGAATTTAGCTCAGAAGGTTGCACATGGGTAAATGCAAAATAAATATTAGTTATTGAAATAATAATGATAATAATAATAATAACAACAATAATAACATCTCTTCAGACTTACACTTGAAGTAGCTATAAAAATTTCTAGAATTGATTATAGACTTGGCCCCGTAGGGGTCATTTGGTTCGCCATATTAAATTAGATGGAGAAGGGAAATTTCAGCTTCTCAAGTTGACCATTTTAGTACTTAACATTACTTATCAACAAATATAATTTATTTCAGTTTCCTGGTCTGTTAAATAAGTGGGTTGAATTAAATAATTTCCAGGAGCTTTTCAAACACACACAAAAAATGTATTTCTAATATCCTTTCTCAACCATAAATCAAACATATTACAATCTCTAAATTATTTCCTTTCTTTCAGGGAGTATTTCTATTATAGTAGCTTTTACCCTTTTTAATGCAAAATATGACCTTTAGGCTAGTTTGGTGGCCAGAGAGAGAGAAATGTATTTTCTGTATTTTCATTGTATTCCAAAGATTGTGATTTCAATGAAAAGGCCGGGTAATTTCTATGCCACTGAAGTTTTCCTGCACCAAACTTTTAGGTTCATCAGCTTTGAACGAGAAGAAACATTCAAAACAATCGATGATTCTTAAAGTCACCCATCTGAGCTTCAAAGTTTGCGATATAACCTTTATTTTAATGGTGTTTGGTATTTTGCTAATAAAAGCTTTATGGTTATAGAAATCATTTGATATTTCCAAATCCACCTGGGAGTTAGGAACTGAGCTTCTACAAGGCTCCAGCCTTCTTTGTTCTGTGTTCCCTTCCCCTGGGTGCATTTGTGGGCTTTCCAGGAGGTGGCGCTGTTGTTTAAAAAGAGTGACTTGCACGGGGATGAGAAACGGAACTGGATCAGGAGGGGAGATGTCAGGGGTTAAAAGGAATCACCCAGAAAAGTCATGTTCAATGAACCCTGGGAAGATTGACTAAAGAAGTATAAGTAATTGTCTGACTCAATTCCCCCCTTTAGGTGCAAACGTGAATATGAAAACCAACAACCAGGATGAGGAGACCCCCTTGCACACGGCTGCCCACTTTGGCCTCTCTGAGCTGGTGGCCTTCTACGTGGAGCACGGGGCCATCGTGGACAGCGTGAACGCCCACATGGAGACGCCATTGGCCATCGCCACCTACTGGGCTCTCCGCTTTAAAGAGCAGGAGTACAGCAGGGAGCATCACCTCATCTGTCGCATGCTGCTGGACAACAAGGCGGAGGTCAATGCCCGGGATGACGACTTTAAGTCCCCCCTCCACAAGGCAGCCTGGAATTGTGACCATGTGCTCATGCACATGATGCTGGAAGCTGGTGCAGAAGCCAATCTCATGGATATCAATGGCTGTGCTGCTATCCAGTACGTGCTGAAGGTCACTTCCGTGCGACCAGCTGCCCAGCCAGAGATCTGCTACCAGCTGCTGTTGAATCATGGGGCTGCTCGAATATACCCTCCGCAGTTCCATAAGGTGAGGCTGCGCGGGTCCTGGGCCACTCAGAAGGGTGACCCAGACGCAAGTGGTGCTTGTCCTAAATCTCCAGGTAACTCAAGCTTGTTTGAGGCTTGAGTCCTTGGATTACGGACCTCTCCACCTCTAACTTGACATTCCATTTACACGGCTAGCTCTAGCTGCCTCATCCTAGTCCAAGTCTGTTTGAAATCTGGGTCTGAGAGTCAGGGATGAGAACAAGGGTAGCAGATAATCTTTCATTCTTGTATGTACACCAGTGAATTGATTAGTGACTTTCTGGGTGTCTGAGGTGAGTTTCCAGAAAGGTGAATGGTGTCAGGCTGGCCATCTTTGAAGCAGAATGTCTGATCTCAAGATGCCTCAACATGCTTTGGAATAAATTAGCTTGTAGCCATGAAAGGGTCACTCCATTTTCCAGTTTGATGGAAGCTAATATTTATTGAGGACTAATGATTATATTTATTCTACATATAAGAATTAAATGCACTGTTAAAAGCATTTTGGTATGTTAATTAAATTGTTACAACAATCCTACAAGGTATATATTAGTATCCCCATTCTACAGAGGGGATATATGTATGTTCTAGCACTGCAACTATAGCCAACTGCAACTACAGCTCCTAACTCCCAGATGGATTTGGTTCCATTATTTATTCTTGTAATACCACACTTCATAGCCTCTTTTCAGAACAACATTGATTGATAATCTCTAATGGTCTGGCAGGGACCAAATGCTAACAATATTGATATAACTAAGACATGGAACCTACCCTCAAGTAGTTTGGAATCTAGGAGGAGAGACCAACACATAATAAGCCATGCTAAATGATAAAGTAGGGAAATAAAGGATGTGATGGGAGCAGAGAAGAGAGAAGATTTTTCATTAGGTTATTGAGGGTACTTAGTTTGGTAGCCAAAATGTATTTCACTTTAGAGAAATCAGAGAAAGCTGTACCTAGAATCTCCCTCATTCTAAAAATTTAATTAACTAGAAGGAGAAGAGTTTGCGGTGTACATCAGCTAGCTAATGTAGGGCCACAAAAATCAAATTAACAGAATTTTTACTGAATTCCAGCTAAGTTTTAGCTCCACCTCCTGCCTTGGTAAAATGTCAGGACCTCATCTGAAGCCCTGCAATGTGAGGATTATTCAGAAGAGAAGTTCTGCTGAAGAATTTAAGGGTAGTGCACTCAGGGCAAACTCTAGACGGACAACCTAGAGAGAATTCAGATGAAGATACGGTGGAATCAGCGACTCCTGTGACCTCTAGAAATAATAGAAATAGAAACTCTATCCTGTTTTTCAGTGTTTTAATAGAAGACTAAGTCATTTCTTTTCTTAAAATTATATGTTAAGCTCAGAATGTTCTGGGACTTTCTAAAATTTTTATCGACAATTCCAAATGATTGACTACCAGTTAAGGGTGTGATTCAGATGGAAGACTGTCTGACTCCGAAGCTTGAACTCTTAGTTTCTGCTGTATTTTCTGAAAACACATTACTCATGAAATGTAATTAAACCTAAAACATCATGAGACAAGATGCCTGAAGAGGTCATTTTTATTTAATTCTTCAGGTTCTAGGCAGAAGTAGTACTTTTGTCCTATTTGTGAACTTCCATGAAGACAGATTCTGCATCACTGTGGGATACCTGGGGCGACTCTTTAATTCTGAAACATTGCCTCCCTTTCATTTGTTAAAAAAAAAAATATATATATATATATATTTTTTTAAATTTTAATTCTTTGTACTACTGGAGATTGAACTGAGGGATGCTCTACCACTACATCCCTAGACCTTTTTTAATTTTTAAATTTTGAGACAGTGTTTCATTAAGTTGTAAAGGCTGGCCTCCAATTTATAATTTTTCTTCCTCAGCTTCCCAAGTAGCTGGGATTATAGACATGCGCTATCATGCCAAGCTTAACTTTAAAAAAATATATATGTGTATACACACACACACACACACACACACACACACATATATCTTCAAGCCAATCTTTCAGTTCATGACCTAGGATAGTTCATATGTATCCTAATTAATTTTTACATTTTTGTATCAGTTTAGACCTGGGGCTTACTTATTCTTTCAAACCAAATTTTATATACCCCCAATTTTTAGCTACTAATTGTATTTGCCTCTGGATCTTAGTTACGTATGTTTGAAAGGACCAAGAATCATGTAGATATTTAACCTTTACATTTTCCCTATAATTTTAAAATAAAAAGGGCTCTATAAAAGAGAAAGTACCCTATATATGGCTTCAAACAATACTCTGAAATCTTTTGTTGAAGATTGGCTTCAGTTGTGAATTATCATCTTTCTTGTGCTTTCAAATTTTTCAATATTTTTTGACTCAAAGAATATTTTCATATCACAACAGCTATACTGTATCTTTAGAAGTAAAACTTATGGAAAGTCAGAAACTTATTTAAACTTATAATTAATATATTAACTTGTATTAAATTTTATTATATATTAGATATATTAACTTATATTTACATATTATATATTAACTATATTTAATATATAACTTATTTTTAATGTATTAACTTATCTTAAAAATATAGTGATCTATTAGCTATAAATATCTATTGTTTAGATTTCCTCTATTTTCTCAACATACATTGGCATTCTGGACTTGGCTAAAATAACAGATGTTGACAACCTCAAATGTGAATATAGAAAATTTTAAATTGCATATGAATTTGTTCCTGCTTTCAGTTTTTCAATTTTTGTCTCATGCATCTCATTCACCCTAGATTTAGCTATGCTTTCATATCAGAAATAAGGAAACATGGACTTTGGGGGTCAAACTTGGGTCCTATTACTTTCATAAGACAGCAACTGAATAAATTAAAATTCTGGAGCCTCAGTTTCTTCCCCCGTGGAATGGATGCACCTTGCCTTTATTCCTTGGCAAGTGTGCAAATTCAGTCTTTTGGAAAGAAGTTAATCCTACTTATAGCACTTTACAAATATGCTCAGGGCCTAGAAAACATTTCATGATTCTTAGGTTACTTTCTGTCTTTGCAGAGTATCCCTGTTTCTTACCTTGACCTTCACCTGTGTCTTTTAACATTTCTCCCTTGGTCTACTTCCACCTTTTTTCCCCCTACTAATGTCTTATAAGGCTTTGTGTATTCTTTATAATGGAAGTTCTAGAAGACAGCTCACTTCATAAAGCATAATTTTGCACATATTTATGCTCCTAGGACACCTACCCTCCAGAGAAAAGGATGGAGAGGGTTATGGAGCATAATAAGTAGCTAGAGAGACATCCTCTGCCATTTATTCAGGAATAATAATTGCCTTCTCAAAGGATGTTTTGAGAATTGAATGAGGTAATATTTAAGGGTTGTTTAGCATGGTGTCTGGGCCATGGTAACCATTAAAGAAATGCTGCTATGACTGTTGTTATTGTTACCTGTCTGCTGAGCAGTAGAATCAGTACTCCTGGGCCTACAGTGACCCTTGGGGGACTTCCAAGCAAGGAGTGACACTGTGTGCTCGAGCCCTTAACTAGAGACCATATGCTGAGTTTGTACTCCTGATACTGCTGAATGCATGAAATTTCTGGGAAAATAACTACAAGACCCTATCCTCCTTCCTTTTTAAGAGCCAGATTAGCAAGAATGGGCCTTTAAATGGAGTTTCTATTCTCCAGTAAGAAGTCTTAGGTGTATGGAAGGTCTTCAGGAAAATTTTTCATGAAGGCAATCCTTTGAAAGACACCAAAGAGAAGGGTTTAGAGTGGAAGCTTAGAGACTATGGTCTCAAGTCCTCCTTTGGCCATTTACTTCCTGTATGAGTTTTTATTTTTTATTTTTTTGGTAGTTGTAGATGGACAGCATATCTTTATTTTATTTATTTATTTTTATGGGGTGCTAAGACTCCAACTCAGTGCCTCACACAGACTAGGAAGTGCTCTGCCACTGAGCTATAGCCCCAGCCCCTGTATGAGTTTTGAATAAGTTCTTCAATCTGAGACTCCAAATTCCTCATGTGAACAATGAAGTAATATGAACTTTTCAAGAACGTCTGAGTAGTGAGTCCTCCATGAGTCCAGGGCTAGAGCTCAACCACACTGCATCCTTTTCTCTTCCTCCTGGAAAGATATGCTCTTGGTTCAGTGTAGGCATCTCCCCTGCTAACCCTCTTGGGGGTTTCACTAGCCTGTGTCCCAAGAAACATCTATCCACCATTCGTGTTTTCTTTTTCAGTTCTACGTGCTCTGCCATGTTCCTCTAGTTTGGCTGGATGCTAAAGAGATTTAAGACAGAGTTGGCTCCTGGTAAAAGGCTGGTATTAAAATCGTTTTTTGTTGCTACCCAACAGAATGTGTAAGAGACCTGGCCCCCTTCCAAAGAAAAACTGAAGAAAAACTATTCAGTTTACTATGCAGATGCTTGAAAGTGATTTAGAACAACTACTCAACAGCTCGAAATTCCAAAGAGAAAGTCATCTTTACGACAAGTAAATGACTGATTCATTTATCCAGAAGATAAAGTGATTTGTTCTCTTGCGGAAGGGGAATTCAGTTTCCTTATTTACAAGGAACAAGGTCAGAGCTGAAGATGCTGTCTTCCAAATACAAAGCAAATTTGTAGAGGGTGTATTTCACTGAAAGCCAATGTATAAATTACATAAGCGGGGGAAAAAAGAATTATAGGGTCTGCAATTGCTTTCCAGGGTACAAAAGGACATTTGATTTTTTTTTCCTCTAAGCATAATTCAGTAGGAAGTGACACCCCAGGGAGCCAAGATTAGGATTTCTTGTAGGGCAAGAAAGACATTTTTCTAGGGGAGGGAAAGATAATGTGAGGGTTTGGGGGGCGGTAAAGATGATTTCTGCCATTGAAAAATGCTTATATGAAGCCCAGGATACAAGCAGTTCTCTTTGATTATCAAGCATATTTCTGCGCACAAATATATCAATATGTAAGGGCAAAGGTAGCTTTACAATTTCTCTACTGAAGTGGCTTATAAGTGGCAGT